CGGGCGGGGCGCGGTGGACGTCCGGGTCGGTTGCTGCAGTTTGAAGGGTAACTTCCAGGGAAAGGCTTCACGCAGCGTCTGTTCAGAGGCGCCGAACTCTGTCCTGCTAGGCATATCAATCGTACAAGTATTTATCGTGCCACTTGCATAAGACAAATTTGGCTCGAGCTCTTTGGATTTGGATTAACACGCGGGAGCTCTTGAGAGCAGGAGCGGCGGCTATCCATGTCTACTGGGCAGGAGATGAAGCCAAGTGGCCTTACTGGGGGCCAAGACCTGTACCTTTAAACCTTTCGCCTTGCTGCTCTATTAGAGGATGTGCCAGTTTGCTATGCTGTAAACGGCATAGCTTCTTACAGTACAGGTTTCCTAGCATTGCTTATCCTTTACTGCATCAGTTTTCGGAGTTTCGGTCAGAAATCGATATGTTTGGAAAGTGGTATCCAGAAGTAGATAGACGCCTTGAACACGAGCACCGCATACTCTTATGGTTAGCACAGAATCGCACCCGCGCTGCGGGCAGCGGCGCTAAAGTCACGGATATCACAACTGTAGGGGTGCCAAGGAAGTTAAGGATGGGTGAAAGGGCGAGGGGAGGGGGGGGCGGTGCACATGATTACGCGGCCTGATTCAGCCAACTGCCGTGGCACACCGTTTGACACGAAAGCCGCCGGTGTTTTCGCTTTCGTGCTGAGCGGATAAATATTCACGTTCAGGGGGTTTAAGTCCATTTGGAGCCGGCGCCTGTGGGTCGGAAGCCTCAGGATATCGACTTTCCGTGAAAGCAAGTTTCTAGACGAATCTGCCTTCAGGGATGATCTTCGGTGAAAAACTGGTTTGGTTTCGAAAGACTGGGGCAGCAAAGGGTGAACAGTGCTGGCTTCCTTGGTAAGCCCCACTAGTAAGCATAGCTTTTGTGTAACGTATTCTCCTAATAGGAAGAGAATTAGGAACTATGGTAAATGAAGCGACAAAGTAGTCTGAGTCGATCATCCACCATCTGGGATGCACTCTGATTAATCCAGAATGGGCTTGTAAATGCGATTTGGTCTTTACGATCAATTGTGGGCATCAGCAAACGTACGAGTCAGTGTTTTCATTCTCCACACGAGCCTGGAATCAACTGGGCCCACGGGGGTATGGATAGAATGGTTGGCCTCTGCTTTGGACTCGATCCAAGACCAACACTTGGCCGTGGATTCAGCGAATGACCCCTTTTTCCGTTGCAAAACCTCCGCCCTTCCCTCTTATGCTGAAAAATCTCTTGAAAACCTGCAAGAAGGGGATGGAGACTTCAATCCTGTAAGTAGCGAAAACAGGAGGCGTGAAGCATTATCAGGAAATATAAGCCTCTTGTGAGGAGGGGTGTTTCTCAGGACTCGCATCATGAATGGTGGGACCATCACTAATCGTGAGCGCTTATCGCTACTATTACTGTTGCAGCAAGCGTTTTTACAGTGAAGTGACCAGGGTTCCCATTCGTCGTCGTAATGCTTCATGTGTGTAACATACGCCGAGCAACCGTTGCATTAATCAGGGAAAATCAAAGCTGTGTTCAAGAATCCATCCAAATTTTTCACAATTTCTCGCTTTCGCTAGTTCAAAGTGTTTGATTTCAATGAGGTTCTCAATTACAAAGCGGTTCAACGGAAGCGGAGGAGGTGCAGTTACAGGTAGCACACTTAGCACGCGCACGGTCCGGGGATCAAATCCCAGATGACATCCCGTTCAGGACACCACGCCTTCTGTACCAAATTTGTGCGGGATGATAAAC